AAAATTGCATCACGTAAATATAAAACTGGTCAAAACTGTTTTACACTTACAGTCAAGTCCCTTTATAGCGGACTCTGTAGGGACCTCGAGTTACTGTCCTCTTTAGGGGGAGTCCGTAATAGGGTGAGTTTATTTCAGTCAAACGTTTGTAATTTGTTTTTGCCGGGGATTTAGGTGCTATCCGTTCTATCTGGGTGTCCGTAATAGCGGGGTGTCCGCAAGGCGAGAGTTGACTGTAAGATGCAATTGAGTACCAGGTTTCCTTTTCCTCATTTCAATTCAATTCAATTTTATTCACACTTTTTATCAATATTTACATCATACAATGATGCAGCTCATTCGTAGGTCGAACGGACACCAACCTGTAATGTTGTTACAATAGTTTTTTTTTTCTTTCTCAATAGTAATTTTCTATACTTATTATAAATTCAAACCTATATTTGATTTCAGTCTTTCGGGTTTATTTAGCCTGCGAACGACAGACGTTTCTCCTCGCTCATCGCCGCTGAGGGACGTTTCGCGAGGAGGAACGTCTGCGACTCAGCGACAGAAATTCCATACTAATGACGTAAACCAATGTTTACATAATAAGTTCGGTAGTCATGGGGTTCCAAATGCAAATTGTTCAATTTTACGCTTCTCCTGATCGATTTTGGTGAAGTGTTGTGTTCATCTGCGAATGAGCTCCAGAAAAACTCAAATGTTACTTTTAGAAAAGACTATACTCCGCAAATATTGACTGTTTTGTTAGAGATTCATCGCGTTTACATTCAGATTTTTATTATTATTATTATTTGTCTACTGCTGTCCAGACCTTTCGAAAATTTTGTTTGCCGATCGAGACAATTGTTTTCTTTTGCGGAAAAATGTTTGGTAGTGAATTTTAGGCTTTGTTCACCGACACGAAAAGCTATCTGATACACAGTAGTATGAACAGCAACTGCCTGGAACTGGAAAAAAGGTTTTCAGCATACACATCGAGCATCGTGCCGGAGCGGTTGGCCGAGAGGGTTTGGGAACTGTATTCTAGCTCTCACTCCTGAATATTTACTTCCATTTCAGTGGTTTCCAGTCCTCACTCCTACTTATTCACTTTCGTGACGGTCCGAATAGGTGTTCACACTGCAACGAAGTATCGCAGAACGTGTTTTCCAATCGTTGCAACATCATTCCTTCTACGATGGCTTCCTGCTTGTACTTCCAATTCTAAGCTTCTGGATGGTTTATGTCTTGTTTGTTCTTTTTTTAGAGTAAGCTTTGGGCGAATGATGTTGCATATACAACAGTTTTGTATTTACTTTTAATAGAATGGGGTTGGGGTAATGGTCTTGTACAGTAGGTGGTTCAATTTCGATAGTGGCGATTTGCTCCGTCACAGAAATCGGGCCGAAATCACCGTTCTTATGATTGGGTGAACAGAAGCCCTATCCGGTATGGTTTTCGTGCTGGCACAAAAGCTATCCGGTATAGCTTGAACATAGCCGACTTATTTTTATCGGCTGTAACGTTATAGCGGGGCTCCCGCGCGCGCGAAGCGGGCGTGGGACAGAGCCCCATACTCATGGAATATGGTCAACCTCTTTTCGTTTGGTTGTCACGTGACTGACCGAGCGTAAGTACGTACGTACGCGTCTACAGATTGTACGGGTAGGGTAGGGGACACTATCAAAAGGGGGTGTCTCAGGCTTGTCTTGGCCAGTCCTCATCTTTTATATATGACACTCACAATATGGTCAATTGACAGCTTTCAAAACAGGATAGCCACTGACTAGTATCCCATGACCATATTGCGGGCTCATGGGTCAACTCATCGAGGTGACGTGATTTATTTGGAAGCTGTCCGCTGACCAGTTAATCGTTTTACTACATCGCGAACAATGTTCAATCATACTTTTTAGCTAGTTTGGGATCGGAGCACCCGAAAACTGATACCATATTGGACATCAATGTTGTGATCAATTGACAGCTGTCAAAAGAAGGTATCCGCTGACCAGCATCACTTGAGCGAATCGCGGGCTCAGGTGTCGACCCATCGAGGTCATGTATTTTTTGGAAGTTATCCGCTGACAAGGTACTGGTTTTCAAATGATCGCAGGCTCAAGTTTAATTTTTTTTTAAAAAAAAATCGTATGAAATATGTTGTGTTTATGTGCCGCACAATTAAAATTTTGATTTCAAACTGCCCTCGGACGCGAAAATTCAGTCAGCTGCTACAGGCAGGGAAGACAGTTGCTTTTGATTTTTCTCGCCATGTTCACGCGTTGGTCACGTTCTACGTCCAATTTTTATGCTCTGATTGGTCAAAATTTGACAGGTGAGTTCATGCGGAAAATTTAGGCAGCATCTTGAATCTTGTTTACTTTGACAGCTGAAGCTGTCAGAGTTTTGTGTCAACTTGTGGTGTTTTTAACTGTCCTTTTCGAACTGGATGTACAAAATGAAATTCAGCTGCTATCGGAAGTCCTCTGTTATCCACGGCTAGTTTGTTTATTTTGTTTTTGATTGAGAAATACGTCACTTGTCAAAGTTGGAAATCCGATTTCGGATGGCATCGTTTTCGTTTTCACCTTGCTTAATGCGTAAGAGGGTTTCAAAGTCTGAAGTGATACTGGCCTTACTTGATACCTTTGAGGAGCTGCATCTCGAGTGGTAAGCCTGAGTAATTATTGTATTTGATGTTTGTTTTTTATTTCTAATTTAATGACGTCGAGCGTAGTTTATGCGGCTATTTTGTTTACGCACGTTTGTAAGATTTGAGACAATGATCTTACCGAGTATCAGGTTTCTCTAAGCTTACAGATCTTTACAGATCTTACAGATCTTTCAGATCGCTGTAGTCGTTTTCGTCGACAAAAGGAATAGCAAAATCGCTCTCCGCGTCTTCCCCCATTTTGTTCTGCGTCATTTCGTGAAGGACGCGTGGCTCTCAGCGTGGGTCATCCACGCGGAACACATTCGCGCTATGTGACTGGCTGTTGTCTAATCCCCCTTGAGATCTGTGGTGTTAAAAATAACTCGAGACGAATTACCTATGGAATAGGGTGTATATGGGGGATGCCCTCTCTGTCCCCTTTATAGTCTCTTGCCTCAAATGATATATAAGGTTGGTTTACACGAACCCAGATTTGTTGGCAATAGTTTGTAAGGTAAACTTGTCGAACGCAAAAAATTCGGCCAGAACTTTTTTCCAGGCCTAATTAACCTACGGTGATCAAGAGCCATTATGGCTCTTAAAAAATGTGATCGAAGACGATTGCCAGTTTTTGGGTGTACATATGAGGCCATCAACTCGATATATGATTTGGTTCACCCTGGGGTTGTTTGCAAATTATTTTTGTCTAAAATCACTTAGCCTTTCCCTGAAAAGTCACATGAATGTCCTCTAAAGTTAACTGAATTGTGGAATACAAGTTTATTGTTTGATTTAAATTATAAATTTATTAATGGGAGCCTCGCTTTTAGCCCTGGCTAAATCTATATATTATGGGGAAAATATAACAGAGACAAGTAAGAAAGTAAACTGGGCATCTCAAATGACAATGATAATGATAATGATGATGACAATGATAATGATAATGATAGTGATAATGATAATGATAATGATAATGATAATGACAATGACAATGACAATGACAATGACAATGACAATGACAATGACAATGATAATGACAATGATAATGATAATAATAGTGATAATGACAATGACAATGACAATGATAATGATAATGATAATGATAACGATAATGATAATACTTTTCAATGTCATCAGTCATCAGCATATCCACGTTATAGCCCCTTCATCAACTATCTGAGTGATAAATAACCCAAACAATAATTTGCTGAAATGATTTCTACCAGGAATTTTGAGCAACAAGTGCTCAGTCTCTAGATATTGACCTGGCCTGGCTTTAAAGAAAACTTGATACCATTCTTTACATAGTCACTAGACTTTCTCTCAGTCCTTCGCTTCTCATTCTTGGTTCCGGTAGTTGGCCCCCACGCGAAGGACTTTTATCCCCTGCAGCGCGCCAAATTTACGGGAATATTTTCCTCCTGTTGGTTTATCCAATCACGAACGGTTTTACTGATGCGCCGTCAATCGAACCCGATCACGCCTCATGAAACGTGACTTGAACTGTTCTGATCCAAATTCAATTGAACTGTGTATTTTTGCGGGCTGTATTTCGATTTCGTTTTATCGGTTGTATTCAAATACAAATACAAATAATAATAATAACAATAATAATAATAATAATAATAATAATAATAATCACCTTAATTTAACGAGGGTAACGCGGGACAGTACCTCAAGTGAATAACTAGTGGCCCTCTATAAAACAAAAATTAAGTAACCAAAAATACATATCGTTAAAGAAAAGAACTACATGAGTATATGTATGAATAAGACTAAAAAGAGTAAAAACTATTTTACAAAGTTTTAGTACGCGTTTTAACTTCCTCCATTTGAGTACTTTACCAAGGTCGGATTTTCCTGGCAGCCACGGAGTAAAAAACAGTACTGATTTTTTTTTTTTTTTTTTTTTTTTGAGCGCGCGCATTACAAAGTTTTTTTTAATTATTTTTATGTTTTCTTTCACGGCGTATGCAAACCTTGCAACGAGCCCGAAATGTCTGGAGACTGAACTCACAAATATCACAAGACGGCACTTTTGTTCATTACCCGTTTTTTTGTATTAAACATTCCTTTGTTTACTTTCTCTTATCGGATTTTTTCCCGTTATCTGTTTGTTTTGACATACTTTGACAGCTCGCGACGACACACGCACGCGACAACACACGTGACAGGGACGCAAATAGTTCGCGCCAAAGTGACGTCACTTGATGCGATTTTTTGCAGGGGAAACAAGTCGAGCTCTCGCTCTCTCGCTCGCTTTTCCCGCAGAAAACATAAAAATCTACCGCTCGCGCTTCGCGCTCGTGAAAAAGAATTGAGCTCGACTTGTAGGCAAGTCTACATAGGCACCAACAAGTCATTGCCGTTCATATCAAATCTTTGGCGAAATTCAGTCGACATAAATGTACAATTATCTGATTATTATACGTCTATTAAGAAAACTACAGCTTGCTTAAGTACGTCTTAAGTGGTCAAAACAAGAGTTAGATCAGTAAGCAAAGACATCAACAGAAAAAGGTACATTATGTTACATTGTACTAACCATATATAAGGTACATATCCTCGAACGCGCATAATGGTAACATTTAACCATGCCCACAACTGAAATGTGGAAGAATATGGCCTTCACAGCAGATGTTTGAACACTACTCCCCCCTCCCCCCCAAAGTTTTACAAACATGCTTCATAAACGTTAATTAGAGAACTTTTCACCAATTTTCAGCCAAAAAGAACTCACATCACCCAGCTTTTAGGTACTTAAACTTTCCTCACAAATGTAAACAAGCGGATCAAGTTATTATAATTATTAATATCAAGAAACCAGCAGGTCTTAAGTACAAGATGTATACAAAACATGAGGCATACATTCTAAAAACTGTAACAAACTTCATAAATCTATAAATTTGCTTTTGGTGAATATTTCAGTTTTGATGGAACCCCTCGCTTGAGTTTTGGATATGTTGCAGTATTATATTCCGAAGCGATTTTACCTGCATAAGAAAGCCTTTGATGTTCTCAATTAGATGAGGTATATTTTGTGGGCAGTGGCACTGCTGGAAGAATGTGACTCAAACGGTCACCACCTTGGATACAAGACCAAAATATGCACTGAAGCACACACTACTGAAGAACTGTTTTGCGGTGGAGCTGGCGCTTAAAAGAGTGCACTCACCTCGGCAGTAACAGGTCTTAGATATGCAGGTGCCTCAGCTCATTGACCCCACGGCTATGCCATGCTGATTAGCCCCAATGAGGGCAAAACAGCTGTCCATGGCTACCACTGCTGGGGTGATATGGTTGTGTGCATGCATAAGGAACTACTGGCCATACCGCGGAGTTAGTACATGTGATTCAGTGCATAATTTGGTACCATCTTGGATAGTTCCCCGGGATTCGAAAAAAAGTTAACATCGATTAGAATCGCCTTAATACTTTGAACCTGACATTGAACAAGATGGAATCATGGTTAAGAATTTTGGACAGCATGCGCTCTCGAGACAACATTTTGCGTTACATCGTGTCACAAAAAGGCCTAGATGTTTATAAGCTTTAGTGAGAGAATAGATATAAAATAATCCTACCTCAATAATTGAATGAAAAATCCATTTTCTTCACTCCAATTCTGCTAGCAATCGAGCAAACTCAAAAGTATCGCAAAGAATTGCACCTCTCCAAGTCGTAATCGTTGCGGTATTCAAGATCCGAAGAATTTTTGTAATAGGCCAGAATGGGGGAATGCTCAAGACAGTGAATTCAGCTTTCGATGAATACCTCCCGGTTCGCGCCTTAACGTAAATTGAAATTTGTTCTTTGCGACTTTGAATCTATGAAAGCCAAGCTCTAAGAGACGCTACACGACATTTCTCTGCAGTCTGTTTCTGTTGCGGTATCTTGTGTCTAAAACATGCCAAAATAGAGCAAGCCATTCTGGGCTAAACCTCAAGATCTTCGTTGTGCCATATCTTGGCTAAAAAGTAAAATTCATCCAAATTTCCTCCAAAACCACTCGTTGAAAAGCTTGTTTCACGGACAGTTAGTTGCCGCCATTTTTTCTTTGGCTGGAGCAATACTTTCAGTCAGCGGCCTTAGTTAAATTTCGCTACTCAATGTGTCCAGCTAATATTAGGCTCGATTACCGGCCGCTGTTCGGGAAAATGAGCCCGCACTCATCCCCCGAAAGAGCAGCTGGACGCGTGCGATTTCCTTTGTTGGTTTAAGCCAATCATGTTACCGCCTGCAGATGTTCGTCTGGCAAAGATTGTCGCAGAAACAGAAAGTCCTTCCTTGATCCATCGCATGGCGAAGCGATTTCAATGGTACGGAGACATTAGGCGAAATTTTACCGTCCGAAGGAACATAACGTTTTGTTCGATTGTTTGTTGTGAACTTTTCTTATAATGATTGTTGTTGGAGAGTTTTTGCATCTTCAAGGATCTTTTCAAGGCGCTTCGGGTCTCGATAACTGCGTTTGTTACAGATGTAACCGTCCACGTTTATATTTGACAGAGGAACATTCAATACGCTGGAAATTCTGTCTGGTGAATCAGAAACGTTTCCATTTAATTTGGTCCGTTTCCTTTGTTCGGACCCACAGAAGACGCAACCAATATTCGAAGATCAAAGAAAATTAACTACATGTCCTCGTGTACAGAAATGTACTGAAGAATATTTTTCACAATGTATGGAAATGTACCGAAAAAAACTATTTCGAAAGTCATTTGGGCGGGCAAGTGAGCGCTTGATGCAATTTTGAGCCAAATAAATAAGAAAATTGGAGACCGGTTTCACTTCCAGTGACATCGGAGACGCCTAAATTGTCAACTTTCCAATTACGTCACAGACAAGGTCAACGGGTCACGCGTCCAGCCGTCTCTTTTCGTTCGGGGAGGATCAAAGACCGGACCCGGGAGACGGCGGAAATCGAGCCTAAGCTAATATGAGCCCGGTATCACGGAAAAATCCGGCGAGGCCGTCCATTGCGTGACAGCATGTGTAATTTGATGTCCGAGATTGCACAGCACTACTTAATTAATCCAGCATGAAAACTCAATATAAAATTAAATGAATTTGCTCTTTTTCGCAATTTCTTATTTAGTGTTATATTTTACATTTTGGAGTTATCACTGAGAGTCGTCTACAAGAAAAGTGTACATGGAGCGTCTGTTAGACAAGAAGCGTTTGTTTCTGAGTGTCAGCTCATTTGAGTAGCTCAGACACATGAACAAGGCTCACACAAAAATATCCGGTCTCTTTATGGGTATGTAACGCTATCTACACTCACGTACACGGAAGAAAATCAAGCGCGCGGATGGTATTCATTCGCTGCAGTTTGCCTGGAAAGGAAAGGTTTGGGAGGATACAAAGACAAGGTACAATAAGGAGACAAGGTACAGGGAAAACAAATGTTGTAGAGCCGATTATATATAAATACTAAACAGGCTAGATGTTTGGTGTAGATTTTGAACACCATTTGCTGTGTCGTGTCTGAGCACTGCATGTCCGTTTTACACTTAGCCGATTTCGAGGTAATTTTAAATTGTTGAAAGCCGGAATATGAGTTCTATTTGACTTTATAATAGTAAAATGTTCCGACTTATGTCTATGAAACATGTATGTACCATTGTGGGTCTTGAGATTGCATTAATATTACAGTCGAACCTCTAGCAATGGCCATTTAATCTCTATAACGGCCACCTCTCCATATTTTAGAACGGCCACTTTCATTTGTCCCGGCGGACGGTCCATACATTGGCTCTTATTTAAACCTCTCTTCAACGGCCAATTAACCTCTCGACGACGGCTAGTTTTTTCAGTGACTGATGAAAAACTCAAGGATGACCATAGCAATTTGGGAGGCTAACTGCTCAGCGGGCACAGTTCAGTGATCATAAACTTAGCACAATATAATCCTCCCGGGAGGACTTCGTTATAAGAGGCAAATGGAGATGTGCCACTGGATGGGGTCGCATTTAAACGACTGGAAGACTAAAATGGGGTCGCACATTTTCTGATTGTTGGGTAATTCAATTCCTCATACTTATGGTTAGCAAACGTACCCGAGTGTTCTTCATTCAATATAAGGTACATACATAAGTGACTTAGTTGAGATAGAGACAGTTACATATTTGCACAAAAGTGTCTAAGGTGGGGTCTATAATTGGTGACAGAAAATCATTATAATGGCGTAGGAGCACTGAGAGGCCGCCGGCACATACCCAGCAAAAATTAACCTCCATTACCTCCCCCAGGAATAATCCCCACCTCCCTATAGAGGCCACCTCTCCACAACGCAGGGCCACTTTCTTCTGTCCCCGGGGTGGCAATTGTGGAGAGAGGTTCGACTGTATACGTATTTTGGCTGAAACATTTGTTTGAGTGTTCACAACTGTCAAGTCAGAAGGGCCCCGGTAAAAGTTAAATTTCACTCGAGTGCTCCCTGAATTCGTGTTTTCAGAAATAACTTCATGAGTTGCCCTAAGTTCTAAAACCATATATATATTTTAAAGCTCAGAATATCGGATTATCCTTCGGTTCGAAACGAGGAACCGAGTGTGATTTTAGGCCCTTAAAATATAGACACATTTTTCGCGTGACATCCTCAAGATTTTGTAACTGAAAATAAAAATGAAAATAAAATAAAATAAAACAAAAAAAACTGTTAAATATCAGTTCTACTCGCAATTTAATCAAGCACATAATTATTACCACAAGATTTCTGGGTTGGATGATTCTTGAACTGGTAGCCTAGCCAGGCTCTCGAATAATATTCAAATCGAGCTCTTTTTGTAGCCTCTCTCGGGCCCCGAAAAAGCGATCTGGTGGAGGACGCGAAGCGAATGAACTTATAGGCCGTATCGCCAAGAACATATAACACTAAAACTTAGTTATAAGCTTCCGCTTTTAACAGAGAGGAACGATCGCCACTTGTGTAGCCTGAGTTGTCGGAAGGATTGTTTTTCTCGGGTTCCTTTTTTTTTTACGGCAGAGCTTCCACGCAAGATGAGCGAGGGATTTTCGCGAAGGGATTTCAAATCTTCTCGCGGCGTCCGCCAAAAAGCTACAGGACTTGCCCACTTTTCCGTCCAGCTACGCAGGCTATGAACCATTAGTCTGACTAGTGAAGGCGGTCTCAACTAAATTATAGACTCTTTGTCTTTCACACAGTCATTAAACACTCGTGGTAGGTTCTGAGGAAAATTTCCCTTAAAAAAAAAGAAAAAAAAAAGAAGAAGAACGGGGGGAATTTGTTACTGTCACGTAAACATGGTTTCGTCCTCTGAGCTCCGCGTAAACCAAGCGTTATAGACTTGCGATGTATTCAGAGTGTGACTGAACATAGCTTCTCTAGAAGTGATCTATCCTTTTGCTGTTCATTGTAACGTCTTTATAATAAGGCGCTATGCAGTCAATAAGCTTTTGAGGAAAAAAATGCAAGGACATGCTTAAAAGAAGTTCAATAGCATTTAGACCCTGTTTACATGGCGTGGGGGACCCCGGTCTAGTGGGGTAGGTTTCTTTTGTTTTGTGTCCCCCAGAGCGTGAAAACAAAAGAAACCAACCCCACTAGACCGGGGTCCCCCACTCCATGTAAACAGGCGCTTAATCTGTTTTTGTTGCCTTTGAAATATCATGTGCATGATCTAAGTGCGCGCATAAGTGCTGAGCATGCGTCATACTTAGGAAGCAAAGGGAGAGCGCTTGCTTTGTTGACATTCTTAAGCAACGTAAATAAATGACAATATCGTTAAATCTACTCAATGAAATTTGACGAAATTTGGCAGAAATCCGGTTCATATAAAAAATTAATCCATTGAAAGCCTCAAAACAAATTTAAAACTTTCCTTCACTTACTTTCGAAAGTGTCACGTAGCTATTTTTTTCCTTTATTTGTCTGGTCAAGCACCCCGCTTTGACTATTCCTACCCGGTATCTCAATCCAAAAATACCGTAAAATTCCGAAAATAAGCCCCGGGGCTTATATTTTTCAAAGACCCTTTTTGAGGGGCTTATTTTTGGAGGCGCTTATATTCGGAGGGGCTTATCTACGGAGGGAAATTTGCGTTTCAAACTCGATACAGCTAGCCTTATAGTTGGAAGTAAATTTACCATTTTTTTCTTTGTTCTACTTTGTATTTGAGGGCAATTTTCCAAGTATAAGCCCCTGTGGGGCTTATATTTGGAGGGGCGATTTAACGGAGGGTTTTTTGCGTTACCGGTTTGGGAGTCTTATATTTGGAGGGGCTTATACATGGAGGGGCTTATCTTCGGAATTTTACGGTACTTTAGATCAGGGTACAAACTTTCTAGATCCTCTCGCCTTTTATCTTTGATTTAAGCTAAAATTAAAAAAAGGGAAAGAACTGAAGAAAGAAAGAAATAAATAAAGAAACTTTTGCAAGACCGAATCATTCAAAGGAAATAATGGTTTTATTATTGGTTTACAATAATCAGCAAAATATTAAAAGTTACACCTAACGGAAACCAAGAAAGTCTGGATTCCACGCTTTGGATTCTGGATTCCAGGTAATGGATTTCGGATTCTTTGCCAATGGAACATGGATTCTGGATTCCAATCGTTAGTGGGATTCTGTACTCCATAAGCTGTCTTCCAGATTCCAAAGCCCAGGATTTCTAAGAAATCAGCCTTGATTCTAGACCGATGATGCTTGGTTGTGACCTTGTAGGAGGTCCGCGGTTTATTCCTGAGACCTTATCATGGCTGATATCATCCTTTTAGCTGCATTCAAGAAATTTAGGATACGGCAAGAAAATTTACCCTTTAAACAGTTTATCAAAACTCGAGCTTTTGTACCCTCCTTAATCTTGTCAATCTTTTAGTCCCCTCAAATGTCCTTCCTCATACTTGATAGTTAATAAATATTGTTCATTATCATTTTACTGATTGTCAATGTATAATAACGTATTGTTGTTGTTATTGTTAGTATTATTATTATTGTTATCATTATTATTATTATTATTATTATTGTTATCATTATTACTTATTCTACTTATTTTTTTTTTTTGCATTTTTTTTTTAGAGGAGGGCCCAGTAAACCAAGATCAAGATGTCTTGTAAGCCTTTTGAACCATTTAATAATGTTTTATAAAGCACCAGTCTATTAAAAGTCAAAGTGAAAACAAAGCAAACATCTTTTCCTCAGGGAAAATCCTACAATTTGTCATTTTGAATTGGATGTACTTGCAATTATTTGACGAATTAGGTTTATTTATGGTGTTGTGGAAAACGGACCCCTATTAAATAAACATACATGTAGTATAGCGAAGATCCATGTTTTTCCGCATATGTAACGGGGACACTGTTGTTTTTGTTGTTGTTTGTCTTAAATGATAGGGCTCAAAAATCCCCTTCTTATAAATTGTTTACTAGTTACAATTTGATAACAAACATTTTTCCAAAAATTGTTGAATATTGGTTTCTGATGATAGCAGGTGAGGGTAGGCCAGATTTAACAAGCAATTTATGACCAAGTATACAAACTAAGTCTTTTCTCTTTGCAGAATTGTAAAACAGCATCAAAAGCAGTGTAATGTTAATGTTATTGTAAAATCGCTATTTATAAATGTTATTTGTAAAAGTCAGAATTTCCAGTAAAATCTTTAAAGTTGGTGGTCATTCTGAATGATTTTCCTTTCCCCACCACATCACACAATTTTATGTCGTCAAAGCCCGTTTGAGTTAAAACCCATGAGGTTCCAGGCCCTCGCCCACCGGACCACGGTTACCACACTCAATTAACGTCACCTTCCAATATTTTTCACGTACATGAAAGTTGCGCTTCGTTTTTATACCTTTTGTTTTAATCCCTTTAACATACTTTTAATTTTTCAGGGAACATTGGATATGAGGTTTACAAAGGTATTATGGGCGAAGAATTGTTCAAAAAGAAGATTGAAGAGTTTGAAAAGGTAATTAAGCCTTGTTTATTTTAATAAGAAGACTGTAAGAAAGTGTGACAGTTAAATAAACAACTATTGTTAGAGGGCTTTCAAAGAGAGAGTCTCAAAACTAACGACACATAAATAAATGATAACAATTGGTGACGATGAGCACCTTCTGAAGGGTAAGGTCCCTGCCAAGCTATATGGGAAATGCCCTCTTTTACTATAATACCTTACTCTACTTTACTCTGCGTTTGCAAGTGGCTTTTTTAAATTTTCATGCCTCTTAACATGTATTCTGGTTTGTTTGTAGCTTTCTCCAGGCAATTATGTAGAGTTATTTCACGGACAACATAACGCAGTAAATCACTCTTTGTTTGCCATTTGCTACCTTTTCAGCCTCTCCCATCGCCTGGACTTTTCGATTCTGCAAGAATAGCTTTTGAAACGAAAAAACTCCAGATGATTTTTGGGTTGAACCCTATAATTAAGGGACAGAGGGGTACGCACCCAGGTGGCGTCGGGAGCGAAGGCATCGCCACAATAGTCTCTGATCCCAAGTTTCCTGCTTGTGAATTCTTCACCCCTGGCCATCTTTATCCAGTCTGCTTGCGTCACTCCACTAGCCAGTCCATAGATGACGCAGAGATCGACATCTTCGGCGGAGCGTTGAGATTTGCTGGAAGTGAAGATGAAGAAAGCCCATTGGATCTTGTTCTGGGTACTGGAGAGATGACTCCGCTGTGGAGCACTAAAGCAGTTATGGAGGCTGTGAAAGGTCGAGTTTCAGGAGATTTGAAAACATACCTTCTACTAAGTCCAGATCAGTAAGTAATAAGAAAAATATTTCAGTTCTATAAGTAGATCTTTAGTAGCTGCGAGACTCTTTCGCGCTTATGTCCTTTAGTCTACGAATAGCTTTATGCATTTGTGAGGAAATTTCGGTAAAACTTTTTTCAACAAATATTACTGGTATTGTTTTGGCACCCAAAATAGGAGTGGGATTTAGTTGTGCCCTTAAAAAAAAAAGAAAGAAAAGAAAAAAGGAAATTTCTCGCGTTCCCTCTGGGGGAGGCGTGGCATTGGTAATCCACATGCAACAATGGTACAGGATATTTTCGGTCGTTTCAGTAAAACTGAGAAAAGTTAATAATACCTTGGAAGGTTTTATTTTTTTTTTCCGAAACATTTCTACCGTGATGAACCGTTTCATTGGACTTCTCACCGGAAATACCGGTTTTTTTATACAAATGGTAAGCGCTCACTGATATTTTTTTTGTTCTTGCAAAACGTAGTCTTTGTAGCGTCCACTCATAGCTACTTGAAACTGTACTTTAATCAGTTGTTCACTTGCTAGTTCGTTTCTAATCTGCACATAACTTGTATTCATTCCATTCACAAATTGCACGTGAAAGAGAAAGATTCGCTGAAATAACAACAACGCGACTATAACAAAGATGATATTGACCGAATAACCGAAAATACTGCATACTTACAAGTTATTGTGCCTTCTTAATGGAAAGGAAAACTTGTCCTAACGAAACGACAGTATAACTCCATAACAAAACATGTGCTTTTTCGTGGGAAAGAGCGCCCGCGATATTTTGTGTGCGGTCACCGAAGACCACACCATATAACGTTTATTTTCTGTCTCTTACACGCTCCCCCCCGAAAGACGACTGGGGAGTCTTTCTACTTTAGCACAAACTAGTACCAAGCGTACAAAAACTAGTCGAAACTATCCGATCAGTACAAAGTTCCTCAAAAGTTCCCTCAGTTATCTTAACCTTTCGGAACAGTTCAGTGCCCTTCCTACACACATGAACTGGTAGCTTCAAAGAGGTTTTGGCCGCTGTTCCAAGCCACCTAGTAACTGCTCTTCCAATAGACAGAGCTTCCGGACATCTCTGCGGTACGCTCCGTCCGCTGTTCTGACGACAACTTGGCGTACCATGCCTTCGCTATCAGGAAAGGTTTGCTCGACCAAGCCCTTTGGCCACTGACCCCGGGACAAATTCTTGTCTGCAAGCAACACTAAATCTCCTTTGGCTTAGGTTGTAACCACTTCTGGCGTTCTTGGAGCGTTGGCAGATATTCCCTTGTCCACCTCTGCCAAAATTCATTTGCGAGAAGATGAACGTGCTTCCATCTGGCTTTGAATCGATCTGACTCCTCGAATAAATCTGGGGATGAAGACGGGTTTCGGCGCAACAGAAGGATATGGTTCGGCGTCAGTGCTTCCAAATCCTTTGGATCATCAGAGACCGGCGTGATTGGCCTGTCATTCAAAATCTTCTCTACTTCAATAAGGAATGTTCTCAGGGTTTCTTCGTCTACGAGGCGTTCTCCCACCATAGAATGAAGGATCCTTCTGATAGACCGTATAAGTCTCTCCCATACGCCGCCTTGGTGACTGGCTGCGGGTGGGTTAAATTTCCACTCAATTCCTCTCCTGGTCAACTTCAACTGAATCTTCTCCTGATCCCACACCTTTAAAGCGTTGACGACGTCCAATTCAGCTCCTCTAAAATTAGTACCGTTGTCACTAAAGATAATACCTGGGGGGCCTCTTCTACCAACGAAGCGCAAAACGGCATTGATAAAACTGTCAGTGGAGAGGTTGTTAACTAACTCTATGTGAACTGCTCGATATCTTAGGCAAGTGAAGATGCAGCCGTAACGTTTGTTCAGAGAAGGGTCTCTCCTTGATCTTGTGTTAGGTCCTATCTTCACGTAGAGGGGCCCGAAGTAATCCAACCCAACTGCAGCAAATGGATATACGAGCCTGTGACTGTCCGAAGACACTCTAACAACTGGAAGTGGTGCTGTCACTTGTTCTCCTAACTTGGCGTTCTGACGTTTGCACACATGGCACTTGCCAAGAACTTGCTTTATCGTGGAAACTGCATTCACGATCCAATAGCGCTGCCTAATTTCGGCCAGAATTTGATAGGTTCCTACGTGTCCATTCAAGTGATGATAGTGGCGAATTATCAACTCAGGCACGGGGTGCTTTGCTGGCAGTATCATCGGGTGCTTGGCATCATATGGCAAACTCGAGTGATTCAATCTTCCGCCGACACGTATGATTCCTTCATCTTCGAATGGCTTAAGTCTGGCTAGTCTGCCTTTGATGACTGTTTCACTTTTCTCATCAGCAAATGACTGTTCCTGGACGAACTTCACGATTTTCTTCTCCGCTTTGTCCACGTCATGGATCGATAAGGTTTTAGGACTATACTTCACACTTCTATCTTTGTCGTCCGTGCACTGGGACTGCATCGGTCTGTTGAAGGCTCTACATAACCACCCAACTATTCTTCTCAGTCGATCCCACGACGAATATCGTTGGGACAAAATGCTCCAGAAATCCGCATGAACTGTGGATGCTCCAACAGTGACTTTCTCCTTTTTCACTCCTTCGTCTGTATCTAGGAGGTCTCCCAATTCCTCTGGAGGCTGCGGAGGCCAATCTTCAACTTCTCTCCACAAGAATTCTGGACCAGGGCGCCACCTTTCCAGTTTTCCAGTCTCCGAGGCCTTGATCCCTCGGGAAGCATAATCCGCAGGATTGAGCTCTGATCGTACGTGCCGCCACTGCCCTGGATCTGATTCTTGACGTATGACAGCTACCCGGTTTGCGACGAAGGTTACAAATCTTCGTACTTCATTGGCAATGTACTTGAGAACTATCATAGAATCAGTCCAGTAAGTCACACTGTTAATCTTCAGTCTTCCTTCTGACTCTCTCGTTATGACCTTGTTGACTTTCGTTGCTAGAGTAGCCGCTGTCAACTCCAGCTTTGGTACTGTTACAGCACTTTTCAAGGGTTTCACGCGAGACTTCCCCATTACGAAACAGCAATGAATTTTCCCATGACTGTTAACAAGACGTAAATAAGAGGCTGTCCCATAACCATGCTCTTGGGATGCGTCGGCGAAATGATGAAGCTCTACATGTTTCACTTCACCGAAGTCCTTTGGCTTAAAACATCGAGGAATACTGAATCCTTGCAAGCTCATAAGCCCTTCTCTCCAACTCTTCCAACGTTCACACAATTCTGTTGGGAGCTTCTCATTCCAATCCAACTTTAGTTTGCACAATTCCTGATTCATTTCTCTTCCAGGTAAGAGTAGGGGGCTGGCGAATCCGAGCGGGTCATACACCGTTGCAATAGATGATAAGACACCTTTCCGGTTCTCTGGACGCTCCTTGTCATTCACAACAAAGTCAATGGTGTCATGTTCAACATTCCAGTGGATTCCTAGTGCTCTATCTATAGGCAAACTTTCTGATTTCAAATCTAAACTCTTAATGGTGGGTGCTCTTTCCTCCACCAGGAACGCTGACAACACGCTGCGAGAATTGGAAATCCATTTTGTCAATTCAAAGCCTCCTCTCGCAAGTAACTCCTGGAGCTGCTTACTGACTTGTACTGCGCGTTTTGAATCAGCAAAGGATTTAAGCAAGTCATCTACGTAGAAATCCTTAAGCACGGCGTCAACTGCCTCTTGGGAGAAGTCTTTCTCATTATCCTTAGCCGTCTTTCTCATGGCGTATCCTGCTACGCTCGGCGAGGACTTTGCTCCAAAAATGTGCACGAGCATTTGGTAAGTCTTCGGTCCCTTTGACAGGTCACCATTCGGCCACCATAAATAACACAACGCTCCACGATCTTCTGGTGCTACGAAGACCTGGTGAAACATTCTCTTAATATCTGCCGTAACTGCAACTTCATCTACTCGGAATCTCAGGATCACTCCTATCAGGGTGCTGGTGTTTTCAGGGCCTCTCAAAAGTTGCTCATTCAAAGATGTTCCACCACTCCTTCAGGCACAATCAAACACTACCCGCGGTTCTTCGGGTTTTCTAGGATGCCACACCGCGTGATGAGGAAGGTACCATAGCGGCTTAAGCACTGGGACTTCGTCATCAGGTACCCGTCGTGATGCTCTCTCGGCCAGGTACTTGTCCATTACGCCACTGTACTTTCGGTGGAAAACTGGATCCTTCCGCATCTTTCTCTCTAGCCAACTTAACCTGCTTGTGGCCGTCGACAGACTCTCAGGAAGGTCAGGCTTCTCTTGGCGAAAAGGAAGCTTAAGCTGATAGTGTCCGTTCACTAAGGTCGCTGACTGATCCATAAGTTCCTGTGCTTTACGGTCCTCAACAGACATGCCTTCCTCAGCATTGGCATCAGCTTCAACAAATTCCTCGTCATACATGCGCTCTAGCTGAACGCTTAAGCTATCTTGGCCGGTGCGAGTAAAGTTTATGTGAACAGGGTCCTTAACGGTTTCTCCAATCGGGCCGTGGACTGTCCAGTGACCGTCCTTACTGCAACAGGTTCGCCTTGGTCTCCTTCTTTCCGATCTAACTGCTTGTCAATCAGGTCTGGGCGATCGTTTCCTATCAAAATTGTCACTTTCTTATCTCCTGTTTCGGGTAAGCTAACGTCACAAAGATGAGGCCAACGCTTAATATCCTCGTTTGTGGCCATTTGTCGTGCTGAAACGGGAAGATTGCTCGTAGTCAAGACGTTTTCGAGTCGGAACTTTGCATCTCCTTCTAACGATTCAATTTCTAACTGGACTTCATGACCATGTCTTAGCTCCCCGTCCGCACAGTTGGTGGTGGTCATAGTATAGCTGATTGGCTTCATATCCGTTACACCTATTTCACGCGCCAAACTATCTAGACAGAGCGAGGCGTCTGAACCGCTGTCTAGGAAAGCGTGTGTTATGATCTCTCTGGTGCCTCCCGGACATCTAATCTTGACTGGGACTACCTTAAAGCATACTCTGGGTCTGCCCACTTCGAGCGCAGCAACCGTCACCAGATCCTGTTCCCTTGCACTTGCCATCGAAGGGCTGCTATCCTTCGTGTTGGGCGCTTGCACATTGCTACTGCTCGCTGAACCTTCCACCGCATTACTGCTGGGATTTCTAGGGTTCTTTTCATCAACGCTCTCCGACGGAAAATGTAGCAGGTAGTGGTGATCCTTGCCGCAACCTGATATTCGGCAGGTGAATCCCCTATCACATTGTTTCGCAGTATGTCCTTGGTCAAGACAAAGCTTACAAAGTCCACGTTGACGAACAGTCTTTAGACGGTCATTCAATGAGGCACTTCTGAACTTTCGGCACCTCCAAACATTGTGAGGTCCGGAACACTGAGCACACTTCCAAGGGGGCCTTGGTGATGTTTTCTGGCTTGGGCAGTTCTGGTCAGTTTTAGTCGCAAGGGTAGTAAACTTGGGAGGCGGATCCTTTATCTTGTTTGGTTCCTTTTTGTCTCGGTTACCATGAGAAGAGGACCCTAATTCTTGCCCGTATCTATTGTTTATACGATCTGCAACTCTTCGAACAAACTCAACAAAGTCCGCAAAGTCCGCTCGACCTTTTCGCTTGATGAGATCTCCTGCTTTATCCACCCACTTCCTTTTCAGGCCCTCATCAGGGAGCTTTCGCATCAACGAGATTATGACATCTTCGTTGTCTAACCGACTCACGTAGTTGTGACCCATACTGGTCAGGACCCTCCTAGCATCTTCCAGTCGCCTTACAAACTCCATGAGAGTCGTCGCATCTGCTTTCCGCACTTGAATTTCTCTCAGTTTCTTCATGTGGGCTTCTACTATAATGTGAGGCCTGCCAAAGTTCTCGCTAAGAGTTCTCCAGGCTTCTGTGTACCTTTCACCCACTGTCAAATTAACACAACTCCTAATTGCTTCTTTAGCTTTGCCTGAGCACTGTGCTAAAAGGCGTGTCAGTCTTTGAGACTCATCAGACACCTGGTTCTCAATATTGTCTCTAAACTTCGTAACGAACTCCACATACTCCAAAGGGTCTCCACTGAATTTCATCAACTCTACTTTCGGTAAGGATGGCCCTTGCTTGATTGCTTCGGCAACTGCCACCCAAGGATCGGGTTGCATGCGTGACTGCGGACTAGCTCGCTGCTCAAAAGGAGGGGCTGAATAAATGTACGTTGATGTGGATTGCTGAGGAGTGTTGGCAGGATATAACTCGGTTGCTGATGCATCTAAACCTATAGTTCGTGGACTACAAGACCATGTAGGCATTCCTGGTGATTGGTGCATCGACATTGGTGATGCCGCAACAGCTGTGGATGTTGCCCTTGGCAAATTAAAACGAGGTACATAACTGATAGTTGTGCTGAACTTAGTACAATTAATTGGAGCCTGGGTAGTTAAACTACTAGAACTCGTCTTGTGAATTGCAACTCTTCCTACGTTTGGACCAGAAGTCGTGACCGCTGACCCTGATGTTACGTAACTCGCAGTCACCAATTTTGAAAGTGAAGTTTGGGCAATATCTTGTGCTGAAGATGTTTGCATTTTTCCATTGTCAACAACTGGCTGGGATTCTGAAGAGGGTGTGGCACCACCCGTAACAGGCTGTGACAAATGCCCCTTCGCAGGACGATAATTGGCACTATGCTCTTTTAAGTAATCATTCATCCCATCCTTCGCTTCATTCTCTTCGCCGCGCTCCAGCAATAAGTCAATTTCCGCCTGCTCCATCTTAGTTTTAGCACTCAACAGCTCTAATTTCCTGTTTAACTCTGCTTTACTTCTTTCTACTTCTTCTAATTTGCGTTCTAGTTCCTGCTTTTCCTTTAGGGTGTGCACTTCCAATTTAGCTTCTACTGCCACCCTTCTCTTCTCTTTAACACTGCTTCTATTAGACACACAACTTCTCTCGCTCTTGTCAGACCCATGGCTCAATCCAGATTCAGAAGGAGGGGTACCTACTCCCTTTTTCCTCCACTGATTTATGAGGATTTCTAACTGTAATTTCATTTCTCGTTCATTCTGATAACTGTCAATAATAAATTGTTTTTTCTATTCATCATCTTCAAAGGTGAAGTAATTATCATGACTGAAAACAAAGTTACGAAATGCTTCTTCATACCTGTAAATCTCGGCTTCCACTCCACCTATCTGTGTGCTAGGGCTTAAAATCAATTCTTGTACACAATTTCGCCGTTTCCGCAGTTCTCCAAGATACCAGTTTCGCTGACGCTCCGCATGAACCGCTTTCTCGACTCGAACTTCCAATTCATCTATTCTTTTGTTCGGCTCCTTTAATCTAACAGGCCTGGAACTACTGTCTTGTTCTACCGGATCCTCGCCATAGAAACCAAATTCCACGTTTCCACTTGTTAATGATGGCCCTACTTGTTCTAATCCACCATTCTCATCACCTTGGAACGTGCGCTGAGGCGATTTCTCTGTTGGCGCCGAATCGGGAACATTTTCCTTCTGTGGAGTCACGTGAGTCGCTGCTTGCTCGTGTCCACCTTTCTTAGCACCACTTTTCGATTTCTTGCTCTTCGAATTCTTGCCAGTCATTCCGTTCCTTTAACCACAGTACTGCTTGAAATCAATAACTTCGAATGATGTAGCGTCCACTCATAGCTACTTGAAACTGTACTTTAATCAGTTGTTCACTTGCTGGTTCGTTTCTAATCTGCACATAACTTGTATTCGTTCCATTCACAAATTGCACGTGAAAGAGAAAGATTCGCTGAAATAACAACAACGCGACTATAACAAAGATGATATTGACCGAATAACCGAAAATACTGCATACTTACAAGTTATTGTGCCTTCTTAATGGAAAGGAAAACTTGTCCTAACGAAACGACAGTATAACTCCATAACAAAACATGTGCTTTTTCGTGGGAAAGAGCGCCCGCGATATTTTGTGTGCGGTCACCGAAGACCACACCATATAACGTTTATTTTCTGTCTCTTACAGTCTTAAAGCCAACATGGATGGTCTCCGCCAAAAACCTGATTCATTTTACCTCCTGCGGTATCATTCTCAAGTGATCTTCGATTTTAAAGCGTTTGATGGCGTCAAACGTTACGCAAGATTTCGACTGATCCCAGCTGACGGATCACCGGAAACGGGTTTGTTATCTGAAGAGGTCCAGTGGCATCCTTGGTGAGTTTATAAAACACCATAGACCTCTAGCTATATCCTAATAGTTTATTCAGCTGTTTATTCTTTCTCGCAGCAAGCATTTGAAAATTTGGCCTCATTCAAAGTGTCCTGTTGCCGTAGTACTTATAGCCTTAAATTCAGATCAGCTTATTTAAACCAATGTTTTTTTGGACAGCCTGTGTATATGTTGTGGTTCAATTTTATCCTTGGTTTAAATTTTGTTCTCCTTTGTTTTTAATTATGGTAATGAATGATAATGAGTTTGAAACAAAGGAAATTAAATTTGTACCAAGGATATAATTGAACCACAACATATACACCCTTCTCCTCCCCTCTTCCGCAACAGGACTGGAGATCAAAGAAGACAGCAAACCCTGTGTGACAAGGGTGACAACAGTTTTGTTTGAAGAAAAAAATTGCCCCAAACCGAAAAACCCAAACCCCAAACAGATCTTTTTTGTAAAAGACCAGAAAACATTAATGTTAAGTGAAGATCACTACGAAACACGCAAACAATAACCCTGTCACGTTTGTCACGCACAAGCGTTTTACCGTCCTCTTCTTCCTACCTGTTGAGTATGGAAAGACGGCGTCTCTATCCCTTATGACTTATTATCTAATTGATTGATTGATTGATTGATTGATTTTTATTTTGAGGGGATGGGGCGGCTGTACACAACGGCTATATTTCGTCGGAAAATTGTACAAGTAAATACACAGTGTGCAAAGGATAAATTTTACATGCAGGTGAACTCACGTATACTCTCGCCATGGCAACAGAGACATCTCGGACTGGATTAAGTTTCACGTATACGGAAAACGTGCTAAACTTTAAACTCCTTGAAGCTTGACTTATAGTACTGCATTGTGTCATTTTCTGTGGGCAAAGAAGGTTAAAAGTAAAGCCCAAGACCCTCCTCTATAACGCAGCCTTCGCCCTGCCAGGGACCTCCCTCATACTCAGTGACGCACTCTTTTTCAGGAGAAAAATCTATCAATCTAAGTGAAACGCTCACAACTGATAAAAATAAATAAATAAGAATAAAAACTATAGGAAGGCCGATGTGTCTTTACCCTGGTTGCGAGATTATTTTTCTCTCTTTCCTTATTCTTGAAAGTTTTATCCGTACGCAGATTCTTTTATCTATTCGAGAAGGGACCTCCGCAGCCAGGGTCTTTGTAAGAAATGAATAGTTATGTTGAAGTATGACTTACTGACCATACTATAACATGTTCATTGCTCCCGGCCGAAAATAGGGATAACCAAAGATTGCCGACCGATACCATGCCCCTAGATTACCTTAAACTTGAGTATAAAGAGCGAATGAACAAGGGACCTATTGAATACAAACTCCAAGTGCAACTCCACGAAGCTAAGCCCGATGACTCACATCTGATACTTCATATCGGGAGGAGATGGGATGAGAGTTCACATCCATGGCTGGATGTGGCTGACCTAAAAATGACGACGCTGCTGTCTCCAAAAGCAACCGAATGTCTAAAGTACATTTATTACCACCTTCCACCCTCTATCGACTTGTTGCCAGCCCAGTCTGTTGACGATCCCAATGTTATTCTTCATGTGCGCCAGTCGGTGTACGCTTGGTCGCAGAAGCTGCGCTCCATGAGATCAAATAATAAAGTCCCAGATCATATGGCAAAGTATCTCATCCGGGTGGAAACTGGGAGCCAGTCAGGGGCTAGTACAGATGCTTCGATAACTGTCTCCCTGATAGGTAAACCCATCCATTTCTTGCAATTTTTACTATAAGGAGGTTTTAAGGCGCATTTGGTCCGAGGTTTGTAAAAAATTGCGACAAAATGTATCTGGACAACATCATCAGTCATAAACACGCAAAAAAATAATAACAACAGCAACAACGTTAACAAAGGAAAGTATCAAAGAGAACCACAACATACATTATACTTTGAGTTGGTTGGAGATTGCAATAAACCCTTCCCAAATGTTATATGACATGCTTCTGTAAGCTGACAAAGATGCCTTCAAGTATTAAACTTAGGTCTTAGGTCATACTTTTTTTTACCTCTTTTTTTTTCCCCATTTCGTAGGAACCAAAGGGAAAACAGATATGATTAACTTAGACAACTGGGGCGATGACTTTGAAAGAGGAGATGTTAATGAATATTCAGTAGAGGCCATGGATGTTGGTGAGGTCTTGATGATCCATCTTCACAACGATGGTGGCGGCTGGTGGTACAAAAATCCTGATTGGTTTGTAAACAGAATCTCAGTGATAAGTTTCAGTCAGCAAAATCCCTTCGAGTTTCCTTGTTATCGCTGGGTGTTGTCGGATTTGGTTGTATTTGAAGGAAAAGGTAACAAGACCTTGGTTTTACCAGAATATTGATATTTATCAATATAAAGTGGTAATGCGCGACTGGAGACGCAGTCGCCCATTACCACCGCTCTGGACGTTTTATACGTTTAGCACTTAATTGGACTCGAAATCTAAAATATTTCCATCTTTTTATTGCTACTTCTGAGAGGTTAATGCATAAGCCTCGCTTTCTCGCTATTTGTCTATCTCTTAGCTATTCTTCCATTCCAAGATCAACCAGAAGTTTTGAAAAATCAACGAAAGCTAGAATTGCAGCAGCGCCAAGAGAGCTACAAGTGGGGAACATTTGCGGGCTGGGAAGGCCTTCCGAGACATCTGGAAGCTGCCCAGCACTCTGACATCCCAAGAGATTCACAGTTCTCACAAGAGGCCAGAAATTCCATTGATTACGATAAAAAGAAGGCGGTTATAGATCTTGGTCTTGCTCACCTGTCAACGGTCTTCGAATGCTGGGATAACTTCGACGACTTTCAAAAGATTGTCAGTTGTTTCTATGGAGGAGGACAAAAACTTGTTGAAGGCGACCGATGGATGACCGACAGTGTATACGGATCGATGTTTCTGAATGGTTGCAATCCAAATGTTGTTGAGCGTTGTGAGAAATTACCAAGCCATTTTCCAGTCACTGATGAGCTGGTGAAGGGTGCTCTCGACCGCGGGCTATCGTTGCAACAGGAAATGAAGGTATGATGATGTCACATCCAGTGTAGATAATAGAATCCTTTACATTCCAAGACGAGCACGACTAAAAGTAGAGATTTTCTCAGTACTAAGTCAGTAGTGCGCTAGCTTAAAACAACGTCATTTTGGCGGGAAAAAGTGGTAGCCGTCGTCATGCTACTACGAGTTTTAGCGAGATATCGAAGAGACGGAAACACTGACAAGATATCAAATGTTAGAAGTTTTATAATTTTGCGAACAGGAGAGCGCGTAGCCTCCTTCACTAAAGATAACAGTGCTAACTTTTCTAGTGAAAAATGGTAAAGTGAAGCTTTCTGGGAGGTCTATATTTCGAGAATACGCGAAAAAGCGTTAAGTCAAAACTCGTACTGGTAGCTTCAAAAAGCCTCTGAACAGTCTTTCGCGGGGGTTTAAGGCCATTCGCCTTTTTTTTTTCGTTTAGCGTCGAATGCGTTTCCTGATATTAGGTTGGTCGGTCGGATTGCAAAAAAAATCTAAAAAAAAATTCATAAGAAATCTTGGAATAGGATGCCCTGGTACCCCAGGACGACGTTAAAAGTTAACATTCACATATTTGGATTAACAAAATACACAATATAGTGAAAATAATGTTCCTGTTTTTCTATAGCTATTACTATGCCCATTTTTCAGATTAAAAGAATTATTTCAATGAAAAATGGTTTAACTAAGACGTTCCTTTTTTTTTCGAAAACGCCAAAAATTTGGGTCGGTCAGACGACGCTAAACAGAGGGAAAAGGCGGATGGCCTAATAAAATGAATGAATAAATTAATAACTTCATTTTGACTTTATTTTGAAAATTCTTTTAAAGTCGTCGAAGTTGGATTTTCGTTAGAAAAGATATATCCAAACATCAATTTCAATACGTAGAAACAATCTATTCACATGTACAATATATCAACGGCATCAAAAAAAAAAAAAAAAAAAAAAAAAAAACTGGAAGGTTTCGACAGATAACGTCATATGAGGTGTCAAATGCAATTCAAATGAACAGTGGAAACGTTTAGAATACTCCCAGAGATAATGACGATATACTTTTGCGTTAATTTCTTTATTAAAGATGATAGTACCATAAACATAGATTGCAACTCAACTTTGAAGAACTCAGATGAACGAAACAAGTTCTATAGAAACAAAACGAAATAGAAAACAACACTGTACTGTGTGTGGCAATCTTTCGCATTTCCAGTGTCTGGCACGTTGGATGGTGGAATTTAAATACAAGTGTCCGTCAAGTTTGAACCAGTTTCTATGGTAGGTTCTTCGTTGAAGTAGGACACTTATCAACCGAAAGTCCCTCTACATCGTCCCTTCCGGCTTCGGCCGCAATTTTTTTCATTTATTGACTGCGCCTTAAGCTTGCTTTGGCGCGCTGAATCGTGAAAGGGAGTCTTCCGGAAGTAAACCAGTTTACCGGAAACTGTTTCCGCGTGGTCCGCACAGTTCTAAAAGTAACTTTTTTGATATCCCGGCGAACGCCTTTAGACTCCCTCTCTCTCCTATTATGGCTCTTGGTGTCCGTTTAATACAGGTTGGCAACAATAGAAATGACCATTTCAGGTACTTTTTAGTTGTCCGCGTCCGCTTAATAGAGGTGTCCGCTTAATAAAGGTTTCATTTCAAGTAAATAAGGGAAATAAATTTGGGGACTTCGGCTACTGTCCGCTTAATAGAGGGTGTCCGCTTAATACGGTGTCCACTTAATACAGGTTTCACTGTATTATCTTTGTTTTCTACTACGGAAATAGGAAGGTCACGTGTACATCGTGGATTACAAAGTGCTGGAAGGTATTGATGAGCCGTCGGGGGAAGGGGAAACCATCTACACTGCACATCCCCTGGGACTCTTTTACGTGAAACGCTCTGGGGATCTGGTTCCTATTGCTATTCAGTTGTTTCAGCAACCCAGTGATACCAACCCAATATGGACCCCGGGTGATTCCAAATATGATTGGCTGTTAGCAAAGATGTGGCTTCGGTACGCTGACCTTAAAGTACAGCAGGTTAGTAGTTGAAAAATGGGATCGAGTTAGGTTTCTTAGAAACTGCCCACCTACCCCTCCCCTAAGCAAACATTTTGCCCTAAGTGAGAAGTAACTGTTAATGTTAGCTTAGGGGAGGGATAGGCTGGCAGTTTCCCAGAAACCTAAATTGGTCCGAAATATATGTGAAGAGGATATTGCAGCTACATAATATACCCAGGATGGATGAAGATGAAATAATTAATTCATGAATTTAATATTGAAACTGCGGGATGAAGAAATAAATGTTAAATAGAAGATCACCACAGCTACAGACTCGACTTATTTAGTTGCGAAACGAAAGCCTGAAAAATTCAGGCCTGCTTGGATTCCAACCGTCTGATCTATGAGAACACCGGTGCCACGCTCTACTGAGCCAATTGGGAGCTGGTCATTGAATTGGTTCGGTATAAACCTGTGATAGATGAAGACAAAATAACGAATATATATGTATTTCATATATTGGAACTGCGGGATAAAGAAATAATGCAAAGGATATAATCGTAGTTAAAGACGCAACGGTAGCTGGTTAGTAAATGTCCAGACCTCCTAGGCAACAAAGTAGTGTAGTAGGGATGTTTTACGCCTCTTTTTTGCGCAGGAATCTCATTAGCGTGCGCAAGAAGGAGGAGGTGGTGGAGGAAGAGGAGGAAGAGGAGGAGGAGGAGGAGGGAAAACAATAAAAATACGGCAACCAACCAGAATGCTTCGTCAAACGAGACAGCCAGTGAGCGTCTTTCTAATTCCGGTCAACCAATCAAAACAACTATGACATCATAGTACCCCGGAATACATATGACATCATCTTCCGAAAATAACTAAAACCTGTCAAACCGGTTATACCAACCATGACCGCCACAAGATAAAAATAGAACATGACATCATTGATAAACCCGTCAAACTGAATATACTTAATGAGATTCCACCGCAAGTTAATGAGATACCACAGCATTTTATTCATGAGATCAAGACAATAGCCTATGACGTCACCTAGTTAATGTATTCCTGCGCACGCTAATAAGATTCCTGCGAAAAAAAGAGGCGTAAAACGTCCCTCCTACATTAGTCAACAATTTAATTTCGCTCAAAAATAGTCGAGTAACCTAGCACTAGTTACTGTAAAACTAAACAGCCTGTGAGCAAGCTCTCCTCCTCGAGAGAACACGCAAGCGAGTGGCAAGCAGTAAAACGTATGAATAAAAAAATAAATTAAGTCTTGTGTTTATAACAGAGTAGACAGGAAATTTCAGTAGTAGTGGTGCTATCAAACGTTCTCTACTGTTTCATTTTTCCGAAGGCAAACACTCATGGTCTCCAGACCCATATGGTTATGGAGCCATTTGCCGTGGCGGCATGGCGCCAATTGCCCTCAGTTCACCCTGTCTTCAAAATCCTCTTCCCTCATCTTCGCACTGTGATGGCCATTAACAATTTTATCAGGCATAACCTTGGTAACAAGCAAGACGTGATGCAGCTTTTGAGGAAGGGCTACAAGTCATTTAAGTTTAGCATGCTTTCACTGCCTGAAGTTCTTTCCAAGAAAGGAGTGGACGATGCTACTAAACTACCCAAGTATTTTTACAGGTAAGAGGAGTATTTTTTATGACAGACAAAACTTGCACGGATATTGCATAGTCCAAGGATGTAAGATTTAAGTTCGTCTGAAGGAGTTTGAATCGATAAACACGTTCTATCCGTCTGCGTCAGATAGTGATCTCTGATTGGTTCAAACAAACTTAGCTTAATTTAGGTCGACCCAAATTACAATCTGGTTTGTCTCATGAAAAGTTCAACATTTGGCCTTGGCCTATTAAGTAACACAGAAGTGCTTCACTTACTTTCCTTTCAACGATTAAACTATATTTGAATTATATTTATCATTCTATTGTCAGAGATGACGCTCTTCGCTTATGGAAGGCAATTTTAGCTTTTATCCAAGAAGTCATTGTCATACACTACAAGACAGATAATGATGTTGTCAAGGACACTGAGCTTCAAGCCTGGTTACAAGATGCACAGGAAAATGGCTTTCCTTTTGGAGAGGGAGGCATCGAGAGTGATCACGAGCTTCCAAAAAGCCTTGCAACAATCGACCAGCTTGTTCACGTTCTTACCTGCATAGTATTCACGTGTTCGTGCCAGCATGCTGCAGTGAACTTTGGACTTATGGATGTTGCAGGTTTTATTCCCAATACTCCTCATCTGATGCGTCGCCCGCCTCCAACCAAGAAAAACGAAGCTTCTCTGGAATCCATCATGAAGACGCTCCCAAACAAGTCTCAGGCTGCCCATCAAATTGCTTTCTTGTATGTGACAACTAAATTTGCTGAAGATGAGGTAAGCGACTGAACCCTTGTTCAAACATTACTAGTAAATACGTTACTTCCGGCCTATAAAGAATGTGTCGAGAGATGGACTCTTTTTTGTACATTGAACATGATCCCTCCCTCGTGTTCCGATAATTTGCTCACTATGCAAGAGGTAGACTGTAAAACAGTCCATATTTTTGCGCGAGGAGTCAAACTAAAGGTCTGGACCGAGGCTGAAAACAGAGAGCGAGACTGGACAGATACCCTAAAAATACTCTCGCCTCACACGCCCTAGGGGCATGTGAGGCTCGCTCGCCTCGCGTGCGTAAGACTTACGCCCCGCTTTACCGATTTCTTTACTGATTTTGAGAAAAAAAGCGACTGTTTTGCAGTCTATTTAAGACGTTACCTAGATACCTTTCCTTCAGAGGAAGTGACTTTAACAATTCGTGATCGTCAGTATTCGAACATTTAAACACCGAAGATCCTTTACTTTCTGGCCCTGTTTCTTTGTTCGTTTCTCAAGGGTTTTTTGTCATAAAGGAAGAATTAAACGGAACCGATGGAATTCTACGACAGCGTAGTTAAATGACTATGAAATGTCTCGAAAGAGAGACTGTTATTGTTTTCTCTCTCTTTTATGTTTCAGCGTTTCCTTGGAGACAACACGCAAAGCCTTTTGACGGGCGATGAAGCAGAAGCTGCAATTTGTCGCTTCCAGGCTTCTCTCCAGAAAATATCGGATTCAATCAAGGCTCGCAATGAATCGTTGGAGTTGCCTTACATCAATCTGTTACCTGAGCGAATCCCTGATAGTATTGCTATCTAAATAAAACAAAGGAATCAGGGGCTATGTTTTACTTCTTTCTCATGAAAACTAAGGCGAAGAATAATCAACATGATTTGAATAGTTGAAAAACTAGAGAAAGCTATCCAGACCATTATTTTGGTTTGTTGTCTGGGTAACGTTACCAAGAAGAAAAATCATTTTCGCTATATTTGTGTGGAAAACCGTGTTATGGCTCTTAAGGTTAAGTTCGATGGGTGCCTTTCCTGGTTTATATTCTTATATTGGTCAGAGCTAGCGGAGTAGGGTGAAGCATAGCTTTGTGCACAGTGTGACAAGCATTTTCATGGCAAATTACGTAGTTTTTAAAGTGGCAGTTTGATGGGAGTCTGCCTTGGTTTTCTGACTAGTTCATGTTCTTATATTGGTGAAAATATGAGTAGGGTTAAGCATATCTTGGTGTACAGTGTGATACAAGCATTTTAATGATAATTTGCATAATTTCTTAGGTGAAGTGTAATACGGGAAATAATTCCACTTCTAATAAAATCGTTTGCTGTAGCATCGAATCTCTCCTTTCTTGCTTTTATTTCTCCTATCGTATGAAATAGGGCTGACAATTTTTAATATGAATCGGTATATTTCAAACGAGCCACACAATTCAAAATTGGCCAAATCTGCAAGAAAAAAAGAAACAAAATTCCAAATGCCGTACCCCCTACCTTCCTATGCTCTTTCTTAAACGGACATACGTCTCTCCGTATTTCGTATTCTAAGTCGAAATAACCTCATAGAGAGTGCGCTGCAATACTCCTTTCTTTGAAGTAAAAACCAATAAAAGAGAATCACAAAGTCTTCGTTTTGTTATCGGCATGGCAACAAAGACGTAAATTTAACAAACCACCCGCTTAAACCTATTCAGACCAGGTGGGCTTTGGGCTTCTGACGAAAAGTTATTGTGTAAATGTTTTCTTTGATTTAACATTTGTTTGGACTTTCACTAGAAAGATTTTTTCCATAAAGCTACAGTGCAATATAGACGATTTAAAATCTTCATGTCTTATAGATTAAAACTATAGAAATGTATTGATGTTCTTCTTGGACCTTGATTGTTTTATTATTTATCTGTTAGCCCTTTCAGGCCTTTTTAAAAGACCGAAATGGCATATTTCCCCACCTTTTTATGTACTGGATCGAGGAGTGAAATCCCTAATCCTTCCATATACCTGAAGCCTGAAAAATGTACCCCCTCCGGGCAGAGCCTTTCCCTATAGGCCATTATAGGGATTCCCCCCGGATTTTTGCACTTCCATTGATAAATTGTTGTTTTTCACGTTAAACCTCTGTTTAGTCGAAAAATGAGCAAAAAGCGATCATCCTTCGTTTTTTCTTAAATATAATCAGTTGATATCTTTCTTTTAGAGATGCAAATGTAAATTTGGAAAAAGGTACATGACTAGTACCGAGACTATTTTTAGTACTGATATCAGCTCAGCTTTAACCAAAAACATCAATATCACTCACCATGGCATAGCCCCTTCAAGTAACGTAAGCCAGTTTTAATTCAAATCTCGTCATGCGCTGATTGCTCTTACCTGACTTTTCAGGTTGGAACAATCGTTTTCCCCCATTCAAATCCCCTGCTCCAAAGGGTCTTTCGAACAGATATTTTCCGAAAATTGACGTTGGGTGCCCATGATTCAGCGATTTTGAAAAATCCTCATTTACCGAAACTTTAATTTTATTGGCAATTTTTCGTAAATTTTGGAACATAATTAAATTACTTAATTTTCGCTATTTCACGAACTAAAACTTTGGCGATTTAAGGTATATTCAAAACTTTCACGACGACAATAAAACATTTATGTGATAAAATCATAAAAGTCAATAGCTTCATTTACATCAAAATCATACAACGTTCTGAAACTTTAATGTCACATACATGTTGTCCTCATGCGCTCATATTTAAGGTACGATGATATACGTCATAATCGACCGTCAAATAACATGTGCGTGAAACTGATTAAACGGCGGAATTTCATATTGTACTCATTTTAATCATACCATCTTAATTTGTGTTAGTGATTAGCTAAAGTAGTTGAGCCTTCTCATCCTCTGAAACTCTACTTGCTGAGTAAACTTTCAGGCAAGTAAAATAATTTGCGAAGGTCAATCTTGATATCTGTTCTTTTGGCCATAAAGCTTCGCACATAGAATTGGTTGCTTGTTGCTAAATGCGTGTCTACCAGTTGAGTAAACAAGTGTGGCCTCGATAATCCAACCGGTGGAAAAACTCGTGCCAGCTGGATTGATCACATTGCCTGTCTATTCCCGTTCTCAATCTGTTGTTTGTTATGTGGAACTCCCAAAGCGGCGCAGCTCATTCTTGATCAAGCAACATATTCAAAGTTTAAGAGAGTGTCTCTGTAAGAGCGGTCCGGTCGATTTTCGTCGAGACACAGATTTAGTTCATTTCTTGTGTGTTGTAAGACATTCATGTACCTATACTAAAACCACAATCCGTTTGATCGGATCTCTTTATTTTTCAGAGTTTTACGGAAATTAAATTTCTCTCGAGCGAAGGCCTGTCGTGACACTTTTCAAGACTTTAATTTGAGGCAACTTTGGAGGACAATTTACAAAAAAGTACGGGACTCAGCAAAAATCAAATACCACAGCCATGTGTAATAACTCTATCTTATCCATCGAGGCGATTTTCGTGAACATCACGTTTCAATCAAGCAAACAGGAAGACTTGAACGACACCTTATCAGTTCGCTTAAGTCACACACGCGAAAACCGATCAAATACAAGGTACATTTTTGAAAAAGTGAGGCGTTCTTAACTGATCCAACTAATATAGCTAGGAGGTAGGTGCCATAGAAAAGGTAACTACAGAAAAAAACTTTGCGGCCCGACCTTTACTAAAACTTTATAACTCCGTGAACTTACCTAATTTTCCGCAATCTCCAACTTTTGCCGCCATTTTGAGGGACTTGTCAACATGAAGCGTAGCTGATATAAATCGAGCAGGTAGATCTAAAACAGTCAGAAATACATACGAAAGCATTCAAATGAACTTCACTTTCAATTCAAGGGGCAAAATTTGAAACTGTTCGTTAAACCTACCATTCCTACATCCCCATGCGACCATTTCTTCCAACAATTCAAACACTACAACTAGTGACCACTAGTGTTCGAATTTCCCTTGTCGATTCCACCGTAAGAAATAACCTGTGCCACCCAAGCTTCGACTCCAATGTGAAGTACGAATCAAACAACATAACTGCGTCATCTTCGAGGCCATATCACGCTGGTATTTTGATTCTTTGATCGACCAGAACGGTGATCAGGAGGTGATCGCCATGTTTACCTCATAAACGTGACCGCTGACAAGCCGCTGAATGAAAACAGTACGCGGCGGGGTGGTGTGGGTGGCGGACTTATCGTCATAAGATATTCGAATACATGCTAAAAAAGCTTTAGGACTCTCAGTCTAAAGAGTGAAGGCATGCTTCGTGGTACAGACAACTTTTATTTTATTCTCATAACTTTTTCCCTTAAATTAGAACTGGTATTAATTAATAGAGTTATTTAAATATTTTTAACCGAGGTACCCATATGACCTTTTTGCTTGTCCTCAGGGGTATAACATAAGGTGTCTTTTTTTTCAGAACCTTTTATTTAAGCGTTATTGCACGGAATGAACACTATACTTAGAAGGTTTGTTCTAAATCATTTTGCTGTTCCCAAGAATGTATGCAAAATCATAGATTTATACATAGCTGACTCTAAAATATGATTTTCCGTAACAGTAACCAATGTCATTTAGGTAAGGTGTTAATAAAACTAGCAATGTACAATTTTTAGCGTTTTCCACTTATAAGCCTGACATACAATTGTCAAGTGAACTATGTTAGTTTCAGCTCATTTCTTGATTCGATTTGACCTTTTATCACTAAACCCCATTCTTTTCATTTGCAATTTTCCTGTACTTTTTTTTCATATGACAACGACAAAGAGTTTTATATGTAAACCGATTTTTTGGTGTACCACTCTTATTACATTGTATATTCAAATACATGCAAAAGGCCGGCTAAATAAGCTCCTCCCCCTGCTCCTAATTTTTTGGGTTGCCTTCGCCCCATGCCTCTGCACGACTCTCTGTCGGCTAAAAGGAAATTTGAAAGACTGCTATGCAGGACACATTTTGTTTTTCTTCATTTTCATTTACTCTCTACCATTCTTTATAAGTATTTATAAAATAACTGAGATAGTACGCGTGATCTGATTGGTCAAAAACCTATGGTTTATTATACCGGTAAACCCATAGAAAAAGGCATCCGGACCACGCGCCATAAACAAAACCGGCTATTGATCTGCAAACAATGAGTTTAGAAAGGCTAAAAAAAGAGCAAGTTACTTACCCAGCCCTTCTTAATATCAAAAGCGTTGGTTTCCACATTTTATTACTGCCATAGCTTTAGAAGTAATAAAGTACAAAGCTGGAAAGCAGTTTACATTTCACGACGATGCCAAATCGCTGAGAAAGGCAACAACTGTGTGAATTTCTGGTGTAGAAAGTCTCCAGGAAAACTTGACCATGTGCCAACCAGCAACAAAACGGATAGTTTTAGCATTCTTGATTTATTTTATGTCAAAATTAAATTCCTTAATGAAAGAAATTGTTCCAAAAAGAGATCTCTGATCAAGATATGGTACAAAATCGGCCGCTGTAGGTTGTAAACAAGCTGCCAACGATGATGAAAGATGTCAGAGTTTCGGGCTGGTTTTTTCCAACATTTGCACAAATTATTCGGTGATATGGATGCCATAACCTACCTCAAACCACCTGACTTTACAAATCGACAAATATTAACGCCAATATGTGGCTACGGCAAAGAAACTTTTCTCCACCACTGGCATATTTCCATCGGTCGCTGTACGTGCATATGAAAGTTACATGCGACAACTTCGCAAATGCAGCCACGTCGTTACCGCAGCATTTCTTAATCATAATAAAGTCCAGAAAACAGATCTGAAACCACTGCGGCTTGTAAAATGTGAATGAAGTCCTCCATTACAATAGCTGCCAGTTCCGTCTGTAAGCACAAAATTCTTACTGATCGGCTCAACAAAATACAGCGGCGTACAGTCTGATGTTCAATTAATTTCTACTTCGGTAGTAAACAAACCATGAACGTATTTTTTCATTGTACGTTCGCTTGAATAAATGTTGACTTTTCCTGTAAAACAGCTTTCATAAGTTATTATGTAATGAGTGCAAAAACTCGTGTTTTGAAGTGCTGCTGTTTGTTGTTTTACTGAACTGAGTTTTAAGAAAGTTCAACGCTATTAAATCGTGAGTCATGATTGGCTTATGATGACTTTAGAGAGAAGACGTGACTTGATCACGGTACTAAAACCATATTTTTTACCGAAAAGACTCCATTCTACTAAAAGTTATTTTATAAAAGCAATAGACCACACTTTCTATGTATATATTAAGAATGGTACAAAAAAAAACAGTTTACTTGTAAAAACCTTTGTGTTTTTTATCTTTACTTAAGCAATAGACCACACTTTCTATGGGTTTACCGGCGTGATAACCCACTTGGGATGTAGGGAGAACACTCGAAAAGCTTGTAAATCACTCGCCTTCGGCTCGTGATTTACAAGCTTTTTCTCGTGTTCTCCCAACATCCCGCGTGGGTTATCACGCCGGTAAACCCATAGAAAGTGTGGTCTATTGCTTAAGTAAAGATAAAAAACACAAAGGTTTTTACAAGTAAACTGTTTTTTTTTGTACCATTCTTAATATATACATATACTTTGTTCTCGCAAAATGGTGGCTAAGAACAGCTGAATGCTGATGCTGTTTGGTTTCCCGTTAAAACATTACGTAAGAGTGACGTGTGTCCTTTCAAATTGTGACAAAACCACCTGACAAAGTCAAAGAAAAAGAGAAAAAAGTGTAATGGCCAACTTACAATCTCTCCATTATAGACAGCTACAAGGGCCATTGGGTTACTGCTTGATGATGTAATTATCCTTCCACTGGGCACTGGAATTCATGGCTCATTTCCCTTATTTTTGACATTAGAACAGCTTTGAAATCTCTAGATTAAAGCTGGGTTGAAAAACCCTCATCCCTTACCCTTTCAGAAGGCGATAGTACCAATGTTATCGAGAGACAGGGTAGCGAACCTTTCCAGTCGAATTTAAGTGAAGGATGGGCACTTCATAAGCCAAAAGGTGGCGCTGTTCGCTTGTAAGAGAAAGTAAGGCAGTATCTCACCTCCAAGTTTGAAATTGGTGAGCAATCTGGAAGGAAAGAGGATCTGCGACAAGTCTCGCAAGATATGAGGAAAGTGAAGGGGGAAAACGGGAAGGGCCTGTTTTCCCGGAAGAGTGGCTGACCAAACCCCAAATACAAGGATTTTTCTTCCGTTTGTCCTCCTCTAAAATGTTCGCTATGTTTGCGCTAAAATGTTCGCAGATGATACAACTATTACCATTTCTGGTTCCTCTCTAGCTGACCTTGAACAAGAGACTAACTTAGAACTACTGAACCTTCACTGTTGGCTAAAAGCCAATAAGCTTAGTCTTAATGTTGCGAAAACCGAGTTTATGGTTATTGGCTCTCGCCAGAAGCTTCTCGCGGAAAGCCATAACGAAATAAACATCAAACTAGAAGACCAAGTTATCAGCAATGTTGATCACGCAAAATCATTAGGTCTCATTATTGACAATCGGCTTTCCTGGTCTAATCATGTTAACGAATTGTGTAAGAAGGTAACTTCGGCTATAGGTGCCCTTAGACGTATTAGGCCCCTTATCTCCCAATCTACTGCGGTACTAGTCTATAACTCCTTAATTCAACCTCACTTTGATTACTGTAGCCTTGTTCGGGATGGCTTAAGTGATCAACTGAGTGACAAATTACAAAAGTTACAGAACCGTGCAGCTAGAGTAATTTTAAAGGCCAACTATGGGACTAGCTCGAGCCTGCTTCTTGATATACTCAAATGGGACAAATTAGTTATAAGGAGAAAGAAGCATAAAGCAATAATGATGTTTAAATCTCTAAATGAACAAGCTCCAGTGTACTTGCAGAACCTATTTCACGAACGAAGCACAGACTATGATTTGCGCAATTCCTTTCATAAATTGACGTTGCCCAGGCCGCGTACTAACTACTTGAAACGAAGTTTCAGTTACAGCGGTGCTTTGTTGTGGAACTCTTTACCCGAAAATGTGAGAGAAACTAAATCAGTCAGGAAATTTAAAGAGCAAATCAAACATGTATTTGAGTCGTCGGACTCTCACTCGGCAGTCTTGTAAAACAGTATGTCGATAGTTTTTAGTCTAATTAATTGTGATTAGATTTTTACTCTATTATTACTGAAGATTTTACCGAGTTTTAAATAAAAAATCTACCTACCTACCTACCTACCTACCTACCTACCTACCTCGAGATGGAGACGGGTAGGTTCGTCTCCGAGAGCGCCGCGGCTGACGATAAATCTGACGAGGGATTAATTGACGAGGAAGAAGTGAATCACATGACCACCGTCGAATCAGTTTTAACAGAAATTGGCTTAAAGCATCCGATTGTCTGTGACATTTATGACTTGTGTGACTACGTCAAGGAGGGAAAACTGAACTATTTTACTGTTTCCATGCTTAAGGAAATCTGTACTTTCTTCGAGCTCCCATTTAAATGGGAGTCGTGCAGAGGCATGGGGCGAAGGCAACCCAAAAGATTAGGAGCAGGAGGAGGAGCTGAGCTTATGCACCTATCAATGTAAATCCCATGGGGGGGCGGGCAAGGGGCGGGGATTTGATGCCTGAGACCATCCCTCTGTCGGGCTTTTGATCGTAGGAAGCGACTCCGGGGTCGGGACATTTGACTTACCGAAGCCTGGTATCAATTCAGAAGCGTTTACCAAAGCCGCCCCTCGAGGCTTTCTGAAAGTCACGCTATTGGAGAAATTAAAGGTGTGAAGTTTTCATTTGTTTTAATCGCCATAATCCGATACTTTAAACTGTCATCTAATCAGATAATGTCTATTTTGAGAAAGTTTTAATCTTCAAGTTCCCATCTGATTGTAAAACTCGATTGAAATTTTATTCCACCACGAAAGTCACAGGATTTTTTACGGGTCACTGATCCGACCTGTTCTGGCATGTTGAGCAGATGTTATCAGTGTTATGAAGCATTTTACGTTTCATTAATATTATAATAGCACTGTCAATCTTCCTAGAGTGATTTTGTTGTTCAAAATAAGAGATGCTAGTGGAGAGAGAAAATACTTATTAATTACAGCGAGTAATTTAACGGAGCTTACGTTTAGTAAGGACGTACTTTTGAAATGTTCTTTTAATTCGTTTTATACAGAATTATAGTATTGTTTGTTTAGATTTTTTCCCCTGGGGTGGGGCTTTTTTGACACCTTTGATTGACCTTTCGTTTCCCACCCTGGGGAATTTGATCGAAAAATTTTAAAATTTGTCAAATCCCCACCCCTTGCCCGCACTCCCCCCCTCCCCCCCCCATGGGGTTTACATTGATAGGTGCATTATTTAGCCGGCCTTTTGCATGTATTTGTATATACAATGTGATAAGCGTGGTACACCAAAAAATCAGTTTACTTATAAGACTCTTTGTCGTTGTCGCATGAAAAAAAAAGTACAGGAAAATTGCAAATGAAAAGAATAGGGTTTAGTGATAAAAGGTCACATCGAATCAAGAAATGAGCTGAAACTAACATAGTTCACTTGACAATTGTCAGGCTTATAAGTGGAAAACGCTAAAAATTGTACATTACTGGTTTTATTAACACCTTACGTAAATGACATTAGTTACTGTTACGGAAAATCATATTTTAGAGTCAGCTTTGTATAAAGCAATGATTTTGCATACATTCTTGGGAACAGCAAAAATGACTTAGAACAAACCTTCTAAGTATAGTGTTCATTCCGTGCAAATAACGCATCAATAAAAGGTTCTGGAAGAAAAGACACCTTATTATATACCACTGAGGACAAGCATAAAGGTCATATGGGTACCTCGGTTAAAAATATTTAAATAACTCTATTAACTAGGGTATCTAAAAGATAGTAATGCTGCGGCACATTCTGTTGATACTGGCATTCGTTAGGCAGTGAGACTTAAAAGAATCAAAAATGACATTGAATGTCGTATTTACATGTTGCAAAGTACTAGAATAATTACTATCAGTCTATAGAAAGAACTCGCGGGAACGCTGTTTAGAAAATGATCAAGTGGTTATCAACTCTGGTTTTCTTACAGTAAATTGTAGGAAATAATAGAAATTCAGATTGTTTATCCATATATTTAATATACGGTACACGATATTTTCTCTGGAAACACAATACTTTTCTTGCTGTTTGTTGCACTTTATTAAGTAACAGTTGTTTAGCTATATATTTATAGAAAACAACAACACAAAAAACGGAAAAAAAAAAGAAAGTAGAAATAAATAATTTAATAGGACTCGACCCCGGCACCACCAACTCGACGCTACTACACCTAACCACTACACCACAGAGGCTGAGAACGTAATTCCTAGGAAAAGTGTTTCATTTTATTCCTTTTCTATAAAACATCCGCCGGCAAGATGATCGCCAGCCGCATTAACCGAGCTATTAACAGTGAAAAGACAATGTAAACGCATATTCCATGGCAATGAATCAATGAAAGAACATGATTATGCTTTTCAAAACGCCGATACACGTCCTGGTCTGCAAAGTAGGACACAAAACATGTTTTGTTATCTCGATTTCCGCTGTTATTTTGAAGCGAATGGTCAAAATAACTTCCATTTTCGGCTCATACAGTTTCTTAAGAATAGCATTGCATGACATTTTCTCACTTTCACATCATCTTCTAGCAAGCTGGAATTTGTTTATCCCCCCACAGGCGGCCCAAACTCACGTTGCGAGGGAAGGGTGTAATGTAATTTACATAACATATGTGACGCGCCGGTGTCGCGTTACAGACGACCGTTGAAAATATAAGAGACTTTGTATGGGAAATATATTACTGAGATTTGCGAAGGCCAAATAACGCTAAAACTTACTTTTTCTTAAATGAAATGAATAAAAAAGTCTTACCTGCAATCTATTCCGCTGCGGTTTGGTGTCTGTTGTCGTTTTACTATTTTTTTGGCTTTATTGCGTAACCACTGTTACTCGTTTCATAGAACGAAGTGAAGGCTGGTCACTTCCATCTGTAGGGGTCCTGGACCAGTCGCAAAAAAAATGCCGTTTTTTTCGCCGAAATTCAAATCCGCTGCAAATTTTTCAGCTCCAGCCCAAGAAGGAAACCTCTTCTTCCTCTCTGGGAGATCGGCTCGAAAAAAAATCCATAATTTCCCCATGCAAATTAGTTGCTAGGGTGGCGTGGTGGGGCGAGGAGCCTAGTTAACGGATCATTTCTGCCCTTGCACCCGTCGCGTAAGTACTAATTGTCACCCTAGCAACTAATTTGCATTTGAAATTGGAAACCTTGGTAAGCGCGACAGTGGTCACAGGCACTGCACCTTGAACACCTGGACGAGTCAAAGGCTCTTGAATGGAAATCCACTCCCCAAGTTAACCATCGTATTCATCTGAAAGACTCCTGCGTGTCTTAAAATTTGGTAAGACCTCTAACCGTGCTGTAGAACTAAGCAGCGAACGATGCACTACTTCCCCGTGTTTTTATTTGAGTTGTTCGTGGCGCAATGCACTCTGGTTAAATGCAATGCATTGTGGTAAAAAGTGTGGTTAAATGCAATGCATTGTGGTAAAAAGTGATGAATTCGAGAATTCGTCGCCCCTTATATATTTCCTTTAAATCATGATTATGTTGCTGCTCGCTCCCTTCGGTCGCTCCGCAGCAATTAATACCAGTTGTAATTTAAAGGAAAAAGTTATGAGAATAAAATAAAAGTTGTCTGTACCACGAAGCATGCCTTCACTCTTTAGACTGAGAGTCCTAAAGCTTTTTTAGCATGTATTCGAATATCTTATGACGATAAGTCCGCCACCCACACCACCCCGCGGCGTACTCTGGTCAGCGGTCACCTTTATGAGGTAAACATGACGATCACCTCCTGATCACCGTTCTTGTCGACCAGAAAATCAAAATACCAGCGTGATATGGCCTCGAAGATGACATAGTTATGTTGTTTGATTCGTACTTCACATTGGAGTCGAATCTTGGGTGGCACAGGTTATTTCTTACGGTGGAATCGACAAGGGAAATTCGAACACTAGTGGTCACTAGTTGTAGTGTTTGAATTGTTGGAAGAAATGGTCGCATGGGGATGTAGGAATGGTAGGTTTAACGAACAGTTTCAAATTTTGCCCCTTGAATTGAAAGTGAAGTTCATTTGAATGCTTTCGTATGTATTTCTGACTGTTTTAGATCTACCTGCTCGATTTATATCAGCTACGCTTCATGTTGACAAGTCCCTCAAAATGGCGGCAAAAGTTGGAGATTGCGGAAAATTAGGTAAGTTCACGGAGTTATAAAGTTTTAGTAAAGGTCGGGCCGCAAAGTTTTTTTCTGTAGTTACCTTTTCTATGGCACCTACCTCCTAGCTATATTAGTTGGATCAGTTAAGAACGCCTCACTTTTTCAAAAATGTACCTTGAATTTGATCGGTTTTCGCGTGTGTGACTTAAGGGAGCCGATAAGGTGTCGTTCAAGTCTTCCTGTTTGCTTGATTGAAACGTGATGTTCACGAAAGTCGCCTCGATGGATAAGATAGAGTTAATATACATGGCTGTGGTATTTGGTTTTTGCTGAGTCCCGTAGTTTGTTGTAAATTGTCCTCCAAAGTTGCCTCAAATTAAAGTCTTGAAAAGTGTCACGACAGGCCTTCGCTCGAGTGAAATTTAATTTCCGTAAAACTCTGAAAAATAAAGAGATCCGATCAAACGGATTGTGGTTTTAGTATAGGTACATGAATGTCTTACAACACACAAGAAATGAGCTAAATCTGTGTCTCAAGGAAAATCGACCGGACCGCTCTTACAGAGACACTCTCTTAATTGGTGCGTTTTCGTTATTGCTCGTTTGCACTTAACGTCACGGCGGCCATGTTGGTGGTCAAGAACAAAACTGATTTCTCTCCTCTGGGAACTAAAGTCTATTTTCGTGTAAATTCTTTGAGAAAAAAATTATATTGTAATACGCTGGTGAACACTTTCCTTATCTATAGTGTGCTTTCTGGTCGCAAAAATTTGCCTTTTTCGTTATGCGTGCTGTGTGTTTGGTTAGCGGTCAGGAGATAATTAATTACAGCTATTTCCCATTTTCTATAGGGCGATTAAAGAAGTCAGATAATTTACAGTTAATCTTCAAAAACTTTGCTTGATTTTAAGAGCAACAGCATTTTTCATTCCAATAAGACATGATTCGTCGTTTGAAAGCTGAAATGTCATCTCTTAAGTTTGAAATCGGGACACAAGGATTTGATTTTTTAAAAATACATATGAATTGCAAATATAAGCAAATACTATGACAACATTATAAAGTAAGGAGAGAATGAGTGATTACCAAGTTAGAAGACTATAAAGATATGTTTCGTTCTGTTAAAGACTGTTTTCTAATCGTTGCACCATCAGTCTCTGCTAGGTTGGCTTCCTGCTTGTACTTCCAGTTCTAAGCTTCTGGATGGTTTATGCCTTGTTTGCTCTTTTTTAGAATAAGGTTTGGGAAAATGAATACCTCTTATTAGCCGAGTTTTCGGTCCGTACTGCGCTTCTTCCTGTTTGGGGGACCGGAAACAAGTGC